GTATACACTGTCGGTTTTAAATGAATGACAACTATGTAAAATTTGAATTCGAGCTCCAAGTTTTGCACGTGTTATGAATTCAATGGTGATAATATATACACTGTTAGTATATATAAGATTTTCTACTGATTTTTTATAACTTTCTGAAACCTCTTTCCTTTGAGCACACTTTGGGACTCACTAGCCACCCACTTATACATGAGCTATATTTCTATTGATGAGCGGAAGTTTGGTTTTTACACTTTTTTCTTATTTGACTGCAAAGCACTTTAGTTTTCTTTTGGAGAGACAGATCCATTACTCCTATTGTGCCTTTCCAGTTATGCATATAGCTTGGACATGAGGCTGTAAGTTTGGAAGACAGAACTAAACTGTCCATGGAGCAAAAACTTGTGTATTTTTTTTTTTTTTTTTGTCAACAATATGTTGCAAGAAGCAAGCTAAATTTACCCCACGAGGAATACCAATATGTTGTGTATTTAATATATATGAAAGTGTTGATGAAGCCTTTGCTTTATGGTGGCGTTTAGGAATTAAAGGCTTTAGAGTCAAGTCTCACTCAAAGCTGAGTTTATTCAAATTAAAATGTTATTTTTTCTAATTGGTCATTTTTTGTAATATTTTTGAATTATAATATGTATGAATTTTTCCTGCCACCATTGTAGGTACATTGTAATCAAATTAAATAAAAAACATATATAAGGACCACTTCACGTGATTACAATTATAAAAGGTTGCAGAGTAAGATCATAACAAAGAAGTATAATAATTTTTATAAATGTGATGGACAACTCCGCCATTAATTTGTCATTGTCACTATGCCCTTGACACTCTAAGCATGTGGTTTGAACGTGTTTTTTCGCAATCAAAAAATTAGGCCAAAAGTCCCCAAGACCCAATTCAATCAATAGAGAGGTTAATTAAATCACACACAATCTCTGGCTTGACTTTGAAGCCATTTCCTTTCGTCTCCCCCTGTAGAGCTTGAAGTATCCTACACCCAAAAATAATAAAATGCTAAATTTTAATTCCAAAGAAATTGATGCATTTCTATATTTGAATTCTTACACCTTGTTTGAAAAGCCATTTTTCACTAAGAAATTTCTACATTTTCCGTGAACACAATTTTCAATCAATCTTTTACCTCACATATATCAAATCACTACAGAATATTTTCTACAAAGACTCTAGAAAATTGCAATCCAAATAGGACACTGTTTTGAATGTGAAGGATTTAGGTGAAAAAAATGTCAAGATGTAAGAGGCCATTTCTACCATTAATTGGAAACTAGATAAACTCTATTACAATCATAGACTGTACCTGGTGTTTCAGTGTGGTTTCCAAAATTATTTTCTAACAGCAATTTATTTACATCCATGATGTTAGGTTCTGTGTAACAGGAAAATAAAATTCAAAGAACACCAATAATGACGACCAAAACGAAAATTAGAATTTTGCTCTCCATTTCGCATTCCAAGGGCCCGATTTTGCAAAACTTATGTTCAAAGTAACATAGAAAAGACCTTTCTGTTGTACTAAACTAATTAAATATGCATTTTTCTTATAGTTGGTTGTTGGCCATTAAGCTGTGATAGTTTGCTGTCTGCAAAATCAGAGGGGACAGAACAAATCAGAAAAAAACGTGGCGTCCTTGTATTTGATGGGCAGAAGGAGAATTATTAGTCAGCACATGTTTAAAGTGTTCCTACGGCGGCTAACATTGCCGACTGATCTAAATGCAGGATTCTTTGGTATGGTCATCAATTCATCCTTTCAGAATGAGGTCGGCAATGGGAAGTAGTAGGTGACAAGGTGGCCCTCAATTTGATGACACATTTATCAAAATCATATCAAGGAGGAGTTAAATGAGCATGATGCACATATCTAGTAAAGGGAATTAACATCTATATATTGTAGTGGCTTATTACCTTGTTTGTGCACAAATTGATCTGGGATATTGTAAAAAGGAATATACATTAAAGAAAAGGAAATGGCCATCACCGAATTGAATAAAAGCCAGTCAAGGAATGAAGCACAAGGAGAGCAGCAGCAGCTCAGCGAAGAATGCCAGGAGTTGCTGAATACTCTTCCTAAAGAACGAGGATGGAGGACACAGCATCTCTATCTTTTCCAAGGATTTTGGTGCCAACCAAAAGAGATTCAGGCCATAATGTCTGTCCAGAGAAACTTCATAGCTCAAGACAGCGATGTTGTGCTTGCCACCATACCAAAATCTGGCACCACTTGGTTAAAAGCAATTGCTTTTACCATTATGAATCGAAAGAATATTCCTGTCAAAAATGACCATCATCCGTTGCTCACCTCCAATCCGCATGAGCTCGTCCCTTTTCTTGAATATAAACTTTATGCGGACAACTGCATTCCAGATTTCTCGACGATTCCATGCCCGAGACTTTTGGCAACCCACATGCCCTTTTCTGCTTTGCCCCAGTCGGTCAAAGAATCTGGTTGTCGAGTGGTTTACCTTGCACGGAATCCATTTGACACATTTGTTTCCATATGGCATTTCATGGAGAAACTAAGACCGGAATCTTTTGGTTGCCTATCCTTTGAAGAAGCATTTGATATGTATTGCAGCGGAGTTGTAGGGTTTGGTCCCTATTGGGACCATTTGCTGGGGTACTGGAATGAGAGTTTGCAAAGGACCCAAAAGGTGTTGTTTCTCAAGTATGAGGAAATGAAGGAAGATACTAATTCTCAGTTGAAGAAGTTGGCTGAGTTCTTAGGACTCCCTTTCTCAATTGAAGAGGAAAAAGGAGGAGTTGTTGATGAGATATCAAGGCTGTGTAGCTTCCAAACCCTGAAAGATATGGAAGTGAACAAAAATGGAAAAGGGGCTATCTTTGCTGATTCTGAAAACAAGGATTTGTTTAGGAAAGGTGTGGTGGGAGACTGGATCAATCATATGACCCCATCGATGGTTGACCGGCTACGCAATATTATGGACAAAAAACTGAGTGGCTCAAATCTATCATTTCAACTGCTCTAAGCACAAAGACAGAAAGTATTCGAGTGTGCATGTGATATTAGATCTCTTTGATCTGACAAGAAGATACTGAAGCACTTGTGAATTTTCTCCAGAAGTCTAGGAACAAAAAAACAGAATCTACGTGTGGTTATTTCCTTCTTAATTCTTCCCTTATTATCGTTAGTACATAGATTTCTAGCACCATTAAAAAGACGCCGTAAGGTCTCAGACATGAAATTCTCTGAGCAAAAGAAAACTGAAACTTAATAGATTGGTGTCATTGTACTTGAAAGTCTGAAAGTCTTGTGAATTCCACTGAATAATCCATAAAGCAGATGAAATGTTATATGATTTTCTATTAACTCCTGTTATGATACTTGAGGGAGTCATCGAGGATGCAATTAGGACAACTGTCTAAATTTTACCTGGAACTGGATATCTAACAAATGCCACAACAAGCTAAAGTCAAGGCAGTGCTCCATATTTTCTACTTTCTCTCCCTTTCTCTGTTCTTAAATCACAGTCAACCCGAAGAAAGGATTGCCACTTCCTACAAATATTTTACAGAAATCAAACAAGCCACAGATGAAAGCTCTGAGAATAATAATTGTACGTATAAAATACAGGAGTATCCTGTCATAAAAATGAATAAATCTTTAGCTACAACATCAGCGCTTGCAAGATATATCTTCATGCATAATTTCAGATATACTGGTATCCAGCTATGTATTGCCTATGGACCATTTCTTTTATAATCAAAGAGTTGATTGTCTCTATAATTCTATGATTACAACTTCAGTGCCTCCAACACAAGTTTCTTAGCGATTTTTCCTGTATTCGTAATATTTTCCTTGGATTCTAAAGCGAAAGAAAAACTGAAAATTTTGTTATTTGTTATTACCAGATGTGATGCAATATTACCAGATCTGCTAAAATGACCTATCAATTACTAAAGTTAAAGGCCAAAGTTTAAGGCTGCATATTATTTGTTATTCTAAGAGCCAAGACATTAGAAAATATTTTGTAAACAATTGCTTGGGTCGTGCAAGAGTTACCTGGAAAGATCTTTCGAAAGTTGGTTATGAAGTTCCAGCCATCTTGTCTTCAAAAAAATTGTTATTTTTAATCATGATTCAAACTTTTTAGTTCCTCTCCATCTAATAAATCTTTTCCTAAAATTCAGTACAGTAGAAATAGATCAGATTTGCATAATTCAACTTTCCTAAAACTCTCTTCAACTTCCCCACCAGAAAAAGTTTGAACTTTGAAGGTTGAGGAGTGGCATTAGATCCAGAGAAAAGTTTGGTTCCTTCCTCTGAAAAGCTGTCTTTTGTTTCTTGTTTTTTCCTTTTCAATTTTCGCACAAGAAAAGGAAATCATTTCACCTCAGTTCAGGAGAGAGTGACACAGCAGCTCTGTCAGATTCCCTAAAAGGAAATCCAGAAAGCCAAATCCATCAGGTTTTGGTGAAAGCAGAATGCATTGAACAGGTGGATTAATCCATTTGATCTCTGATGAGTGATGACAAGTTTAATCTTTTATACTTTTGGGAAGCAAATTGCAACAATTCCTCAGTATCTTCTACAATAGCTCTAGCATGAAAAGCATAATAAACTGAAGCTGTGTCATTTGCTGCTAATTCCAACTGTTTCAAGATCATTACATCATTCTCCACTAGTAGACACAGCAGAAAAATGTAGAATACTGCGGCCCCTCACAATAGGCTTCTATTGTTTTTCAAATTTAAAATCATATGTGCTTGCCCATCAAAAGGCACTTCCAGAAGCAGCTCCATTTTAACAGCTTAAGCTGGTCAAGAAACTTAAGAAGCTCAATGTTTGGCCATATCTTCAATCATTGACTTGGCATGAAATGAGACAGAGAAAGAGTTACACTTCCTAGCCTTAGATTTACCATTCATTGAGATTGGTTTAGGAACATTATTGTTCCCCTAAGGTGTATATGTTTTGCAACAAAGATTCACAAAAGCCATGTAAATCATTGAGAGAATCAATAATATTCTCCACAAGGGACTCCAAATGGATATTTTGGCTTAGCAGCTCCAGAAGAACACCTCAACCTTGGAATCCCCATCTTTTCAAGCAACTTAACAGGAGCTGGATCAGCTTTCTTGTCTATGCCAGCTATTGTTTCGTCCACATGAGACCGCTAAGTGAAAAAACAAGCTCACCAGCACAAACATTATCAGGTGCATGAACCGTCTAAAAAGGAATCAAAGTTCAGCCTCCTCAGGAATAGAAGCCTGAAAAATACATGGCCCACATAAGTAGTTGCAGTCGGTAAGGACAATGACATCTTGAATAATTTGAGATACTCTTCTATTACTTGTGGCGTACTTGACTTCAACATCTTTAGAAGATCCAAAAGGCATCAAAAACTAATTACTAGGTCATGCTTTCTTTCATTCTCTCAAGCCACCACAAGTAAGATACATGTACTGAGCAGACAAGAATAGCTCATGACTTGAGAGATATCTGAATAGGTAATTACCTTCAACATAGAAGATAAAGCACCTCAAGGATTCTAGCATCTCTAGCATGGCACGCAGCTGTAAACCTATGAGGCTGAAGCAACTCATCTTTCCCGTTGTAAAGATCCCGCAGACTTTCACCCAAGAGAGGAAATAAATTGCTTCCAAAGATCATAATCCCTCAGCAGAGGCTGGGATCAAATGAATAGTTGTTCAATGAAGTAGAATCATATTCTGCTTCAATTCGCTGCCTCAAGGATGCAATATTTGATTGAAACTTAGGAGTTGCAGGACATAACCATACATCCCCTAATGCATATCTTTCTCAAAAGCAACATGAAAGTCCCTCTTCAAGGTTCAAGAATAGAGATCCCAACTGACCAACACCCACTTGTCATCAGAATAGGTCAAAATTCTATGTAAATCAGTAAAGTTGGTTAAAAGTTTCAGTTCCACTTTCAAATTATCAATCTGTTCATGTGGATCTTTTTCATCTATACCATGAGAAAATGACAAGGTCCTCCACCATCTATCATCTATCATCCAGCTGCTCCACAACAAAATCAACAACGTAACTTTGATTCGTTTTCTCAATAAGCTTCCTAAAGTACTGTATAAAAATACCCTGAAGCACAAGAAACAATAATCCCGCAGAATTAAATGACACGCTAGAGCTGAAATCTCATCTTCTTTTTGTCTCAAAAACTCAGAGCACCCCATTAATTGCTTTCCACAAAAAAAAAAAAAAACCAGAAAAAAGGAAGAACATATAGCACTAGATGAAACAAATAAATACAGCAGAAAATCAGTTAAATTTGCACTCTGATATTGTTTGTATAGCTTTTCAAGAACTCAGGGCAGCCCATCAGTTTCTTTTCTGCATAAAGCTTGAAAATCCCACAGATGTTGCAGATAAATATGGAAATTCTATCATCACTATCATTTCATCAAAATCCAATGGATCTACGATGGTGAATTAAGAATTCAGAAGAGGGAGATAGCAAAGAACTTACCCAACTTATATTCTTCAACCTTGGGTCCAATGCAATTGGAGAAGCAGTCCGTCCCAACTTCCAACTTGGCTTTGTTTGAATTGAGAGGAAACGAGAAAAGATGAGAAAGAGGTGACGTTTTAAATGGATAGAGAAAAAAGCCTGACGCTGATGCTGGGCACGTTTCTCTCAAAGGATGGACGTGGGCCTAGACGGTCCACGAACTTTTGACGGTACAAATAAGTTGGGCCAACATTAACATACAAAATGAAGGAAACATACCAAGTGATGAGAATGGAAAATTACGTCATGGTTAAAAATATTAGAACAAGAAATTTTAAACAAACACCAAACACTGTTTGCTGAAGGTCCCAAAGCCTTTTCTACAGTAAAAATTAATCCCGACCAAAGAAGAACCAACTGTTATCACCAAATAAAATTAAAATTCTTTTCGACCATCAATATTATGAAAATCCTTTTTTGAAAAACCTTTACCATGGAGTTGTGTGTTTCCCTCTTTCAATTGAACTCACTCCAGCTGAGATTGGCAGAAGGAAAAGTGGTGCAAATCATATCTTTGAGCGGATATCCGTAAATCACAGAGGGAGCCAATCGTGAAATCACAACGGGAGAGTGGCAAAAGTGGTGCACTAAATGAAATTGCAGGTCAATACTGTATAATCCAAGGGTCTACAGTTTCCAAAGGTAAGAATCTTGGTTTTCCCTCTTTTATCCTAACACTGATGTTTACGGTTTAGGGAAACAAATATATTCAGGTTTAGGATTTACGAAAACAAATACAGTACAGGTTGAGGGTTTAGGCTAACAAATTAGCTCTGATAGATTGTTTTGTCATTTGTATCAATTGTTATTTACCTTGTACAATTTAGTACACATTGGTTCTGACAACTTGGCTTTGATTTCCAGTTGTTATTTCGCTTCTTAGCCAAATAATGTTCTCTATAATTAGGTAAGTTGACATACTACAAAGAGATATATAAGGGACACACAAGAGCACACAAGAGCGATATATAGTCTTATACATGGGGTGTAAAAGAGGGTTCTTGGAATATAAGAGATGGTATACAAGGGTTGTGTTTGGGTTTAAGTTCTATTCTTATATAGAATTTTTTCTCTCATTATAAAGAACGGATTTTCTCTCCGTGGACGTAGACTCAATGGTGGAGGCAAATCACGTTAAATATTATTTGTCGTTTATCTTTCATGCTTGTCACTTATTTGTCATTAAATTGATGTATACTTGATACCTCAATAGTCATGTGTTTCGCGTTTGGGTCCTAACAAGTGGTATCAGAGTTTGGTTGCAAAACTGGTTGCTCACAAGCACTTGAATCCCAACAAACTGATATCAGAGTGGGGTTCATAGTTGGATCCTGGTTAACTATTGAGATCAAGTGGGTTGATGGCTATAACCAATTAAACAATTTAATGGGTGATATCATTGTTTTAAGAGTTTGGTAAAAAACATTGAAGGTGAAAGATGGAAATTCGAAAAGCATGGAGATACTTGACGGTGAATCTAGACAGGTGATTCAAGGGTAAAAAAAAAAGGTGGAGTCCAATATTGATTTTGAATGTGAATCGGTGAAGACTTTCTCACAACTCCAACGGTTGATACTTCATCTCAAATGATTTTTAGATTCAAATTATATCCTTTAGGTGGTGTGGAATGTGTTCTAAAAAAAGTAAAAGAATCTATTTTCAAACGCCATAAATATCTGATGGCTACAAGTTTTACGTTGCAGGTGGAGTCTTGGAAACCATACATGGTGAGACAGTTCTGAGAATGGGAGGAAGTATGGTGATTTTATCACTTGATCGCCTCAATGGTTAGAAGTCATAAAAGGGAATCCCAAATTGTAAGTGGTGGTGAGAAAAAATCTTGCAAAGAGAGATGGTGAATTGAAACACCTTCTCACGAGTTAATTGGAAGTTAGATTTGGGGTAACTACACATGTTCATTTGTCGATTGAATGAATTGATGTCATGACTATATCGATTCGAATGTGTAGTTCGCTATCATATTATTTGGTAGTTGAAAGCAAATGATTGCTAAAAAAAATATTTGCGAAGATAGAGATTTGTTAAGAAATTGATTTAATTTCTTTTAGGCAGGTTTTTTAATTTATGTGAAAGTAACTAGTTTTCTAATTGGTTTTAGTTACTTGAAATAGTAGCCAAGAAATATCTCATTTTGTTTAGAATTTAGAAATTATTTCTTATTCTATACAAGTCTAAGAATTAGCACTAATTTCCTGTTATTAATTGGTTTTTTGATCAAATAATATTGTCTATAAATAGGTGGGTTAGCATACTACAAAGAGACATACAATGGACACACAAGAGATATACAAAGAGCACACAAGGACGATATGTAACCTTATACATGGGGGTGTAAGAGAGGGTTCTTGGGAGATGAGAGATGACATATAAGGGTTGTGTTTGGATTTAAGTTGTATTCTTGTATAGGATTTTTTCTCTCATAATAAAGAACGGATTTTCTTTCCATAGACGTACACTCAATGGTAGAGTCGAACCACATTAAATATTATGTGTCATTTATCTTTCATGATTGTGGCTTGTTTGTCATTAAATTATTGTATACTTGTAGAGCTGTAAACGAACCGAATCGAACCGAGTATCTCATGTTTGAGCTCTGTTCGTTAAGCAGTTCGAACAATGTTCGTGTTCGTTCGTTATTCGAACTCCAAACATGTGTTCGTGTTCGGTTCATTAAGTAAAATTCGTGTTCGAGTTCGAGTTCGAGTTCGGCTCGTTTAACATAAACGAGCCGTTCGCGAACATGTTCGAAATGCTCGAATCCAAATTATTTTATGCCTTAAATATGCCATGCAAATTATTAATCATTCTAAAAAATAATTAAAGCACTAAGTGACTAAATTCTATTATTCATTAACTATATAACTAACATTAACATAAAAACAACAAATAAAACAAAGAAATTTGCCCTCCAAATATAAAAGTCCAGCCATAAAATTAACCCTAAAATTAACCCTAAAATTCGTGTTAAGGCATTACCGCAAACTCAAAGTGCCCATATTTAGAATTAAAAGCAGTCTTAGGTATGTCTTTCTTTTTAATCCTCAATTGATAGTACCCTTGTCTCAAATCTAACTTAGAGTACACCACCGATCCTTGCAATTGATCAAATAATCCATCAATCAAGGGCAAATGGTACTTATTCTTAATAGTCACCTCATTCAAACCTCGATAGTCAATGCACAATCTCAAACTCCCGTCCTTTTTCTTTACAAACAAAACTGGAGCTCCCCACGGTGAGTTACTTTCCTTAATAAAACCTCTTTCTAGTAGGTCCTGCAACTGGATCTTTAGTTCCTTCAACTCCGCAGGAGCCATTCCATAAGGAGTTTTTGAAATTGGGGCTACTCCTGGAACCAAGTCAATCTTAAACTCTATCTCCCTTTCAGGTGGCAAAGATGTTAATTCTTCCGGAAAGACATCGGAAAAATCTCGCACGATTGGCACATCTTCTAATTTCACTTGGTCACTAGGGGCGTTAATTAAGAAAGCTAAGAAACCCTGGGCTCCCTTGTGAAGCATTTTCCTAGCTCGAATCCCTGAAATCAAAGCAGACGAAGCTAATCTACCCCTTATATCTAGCTTGAGAGTTGCCTCTCCTGGGATGCAAAATTCCACCACTTTAGCTCTACAATCTAGTTTAGCATGGTGGTAAGACAAAAAGTCCATTCCTATAATCACATCATACCCCTTAAGATCCAAACTCACCAAGTCAACTAGCATTTTTCGCTCCCCAACCCAAAATTCACACTCCTTATACACCAAACTAGTGAGTATGCTTTTATTACCCGTAGGAGTCCTAAATTCCAAATCATAGGGTAATCGTACAGGCTTTACATTAATTCCACACATAAAAGCAGGATTAACAAACGAATGAGTCGCACCGGGATCAATTAAAACCTTAGCTAATCGATGAAAGATTGGAAGTGTACCTTCGACTACCTCCGAAGGGTCAGGTACAGGTTGACTATCTAGGGCATAAACCCTGGCCGGGACCTTTGGCCGACTCCCTCCAGAAGCAGTTTGCCTAGAACTTGTGGCACCTCCTTGGCTTCCCCCATTCTCGGAAATCTTAGGACAATTAGCAATTTGGTGCTCAGCACTCCCACACCTGAGGCACTTGCCCTCTTTTCTCCAGCACTCATTTGCGGTATGATTGGCTTTTCCACAGTAACCACAGGTTATCTGAGGGGTTGACACTTGTACACCTTGTGGAGCACTCCTAGGGGGTCCCCTTCCACTTTGACCTCCTCTCACTCCAGATCCTCTCGCCCCAGAGCCTCTAGCTCCAGCACCCCTTGTTAAAGCACCTCTCGATGCAAGAGGGATATTCACTACCCCAGTTCCTCTACCCATCTTAGGCGATGGGGCACTTGTAGAAATTGGGTCCCTGCTACCACTAGGGGCATTCCTTTTCCTAGCAAAGAATGACTTAGATTGGGCTCTAGCCGTCTCAAACCTCTGAGCTTTCTCTACGGCATCACTATACGTGTTAATTTGAGCAGTTCCTAGCCCCTCTCGAATCTCCACATTGAGCCCTTGCACAAATCTCCTAATGCGTCTCTGCTCAGTGGCTATCAGGTCAGGGGCATATCGGGCTAATTTAGTGAAGTGGGTCTCATACTCTATTACACTCATGGCCCCTTGTTTGCACTTAATAAAGTCGTCCTCCCTTTTCTCTTGGACTAGAGGTGGAAGGAATTTGGCATTAAACTCACGGGTGAAGTTTGCCCAAGTACTAGGGGTACGGTCTCTATCCCACTTATCCTTAATTAGATTCCACCAAGACCGTGCAGCTCCCTCAAATTGAAATGACGCAAAAGTCACCTTCCGCGTCTCAGTGTAATCCAAGGTGGCAAAAATATCAGATATTCTCTCCCACCATCCCTCAGCTATTTCAGGCTCTGGCCCACCTTGAAACTTAGGCGGCCCAAACTTCAGGAACCTCTCCAAGGCCCTATCTTTAGTATCTACCTGCCCACCAGGTTGTTGATGCACGGTCCAGGACCTTGACGGTCCGTCAAACGCTCTAGCACTTCGGTTATCCTATTAATAGCGGTGGCCATTTGATCTCCGCCCCCGCCCTCGAGTCCCCGATTTTGGTTCACTTCCGATGCTCTATCGCCCCCTTGATCACGAAGGGGTTCAGCCCGTCTCCCTCGACCTCGGCCTCGATTTTGGCCTCGGCCTCTACCACGGGGATCCATACCTAGTTATTCCTAATGCAAAACAAGAAATAAGTATATAGAAATTTACGCAAAATTTAAAGAGCAACGCAGGAAAATTGCATAAAATTGAGAAACAAAGCAAAAAATTATGCCAAATGAAGATCAACTTGAGGGCGATAAAAATAACCACAACTAACACATATATTAACATTCGAAATTCCTACAATTAGCATTTCGTTGGAATTTTACAAAAATATAGCCCAAAGGTGCTACAAGGTGCAACCAGTCATTCATAATCAAAAGATGTGCAATCACCACAAAAGCAAGCCATACAGTTACAAAAATACAATGGCCCAAGAGTTAGCACCATCCCAACCATTGTTTACAGATTACAAGTCAAAAGAGAGTCTAACTAAGCCTAGTCCTCAGCGGGACCATCAGATGGATTCCCCTCATCAGGATCCTCTTCTGGATCTTCCTCCGGGTCCTCCTCTGGATCCTCCTCAGCACTAGGAGCTACCTCTGAGGCCTCGTCCATCACCTCATCCACCAGCATGGTAGCATCCGCTAGTATCCCAAAAGCTCGCTCACGAACCATGTCTCTCATTCTAGCCACACTATCCCTTGCTCTCTGCAGCTCCTCACGGTCTGCCTCAGCCCTAGCTCTCTCCTCTATCACCCGTCCAGTCAGCTCTGTTACCCTATTCTGCAGATGAGTCACCATGGCACCTAACTCATCCACGTCCTGAATCAGGGCCAGATTGGAATTCACCAACTGGCGACGCTCATCGTCTATAGCCAGAACCAAGCGGTTGGGGTAAGAGAAGGTCAACCTACAGTCACATCTAGGAACCCTGGTGTCGGGCGAGTACTGACCACGAGCTCCACCACCCTGAACTTGGTAAAATATAGGCCTAAGAGGCGGCACGTGACCATTCACGTGCCCGTTACCATTAGCAGCGTGTCCGTTCCCATTAGGGTTCTCCATACCTACAAAACAGCCAAAACTTTCAAAGTTAAACCTTAGCACCATTAACTTGATCAATTATCACTTAAAATATATCTAAGTATCTCATTCCTATTTCTAGGAATAAAATACCTAACAATTCTCCCAAATACGTTCTAACCTAATGCTCTGATACCACCTGTGGCGGCCCCACTTCCCCCTAAGGCGAACCAAAGGGTTGGCGGGTCGCCTGCCTAGCTCTCGCCAGGACTCACTCACTCTAGCAACTAATATCACCAAACATAAATTGAAAATAAACCTTACTCCTCGAGCAAGCTAAGTAGTTAAGTAAATCATACAATTCAACTTATACAGCCCAAAAATACAATTCCAAGTACCAACGAAAACGTCGAGCTTAAAATACTTAATTTACAATTTAAAGTTCCTAATCCAGGGCACAGAAGCACCACAGGATTCACATTTTCCCAAAGACACAAAAGTCATCCAAAATATACTAAAGTTTTCCCTAAGTACCTATACAAAAGTGGGCATTCAAAATATAACATTTCTTTTCTAGTTCTCCAAGACTTCATGCAACTCAGAACCTGTCAAGGAAAACAAATTGGAAGGGATGAGCCAATAGCTCAGTGGTGCCTCGAAACATGCAATTCACATAGGGCAATTTAACAAGTACAAATGGACAAGTAAGCAATTAATAATTTAGGAAATCGAAGTAACATGACAAGAAAAGGATACGGGGCTCTCAGGAGCCAAAGTCCACGTGCTTGATCAGGAAATTTTTAGTAGTTGACACTCCGTCAACTTTCACTACCTAACCTCCATGTAGAATATTTCCTACTCTACTTGTCTCCTAGCAACGACTTCCCCCTTATTTTTGGGCCCGACTCCAACACGAATTTTGCAAGCACTTTTACCAAGACGGCAGAGAGGTACCTCCCACCCTAATAGAGCGTGGTACGTGCATCCGTTTGGTTTATTTAGTCGACGAGACCACGCTCCAATCGACATTGCAACACTTGTACTTGTGATATTTCACGCAATCACATAGCATATAACATTTCATGATATCTCTAGCAAGTACTTTTAACAAGTAGTTCAACTAGCAGTTAAACACGATTCACGCAAGAGACACTCACCTCAAGTGAAGTGTCTAGAATTCCAAACTTTGATCGAGATTGTGCTCTTCACCAACTCCTAAAATCATACAAATAATTCACATAAATTTCCACTTTTGAGTTGGTGAATTTAACTCGAGTCAACTAGCATTTAATTTCACTCAAAAATCCCAACCTAGCATTAATTGTTTTCTCAAAGTGAAATCCACAATTTCGAGTGAAATTAAATTTTAAGGTTTCTTTAAAACCAAAAACTTGCTAAATTCGTCAAATATTCCAATAACCAAGTTCTAGAGTCATATAAGCTATTAACACCACTTTGGTGTCACAAGTTGAGAAGAATCACATTTAACTATTTAGAAGAATTTTCCCCTCTAATTTTCCCCAAAAATATCTTGGGAAATTCCTTTAAGAGGAAATCATATAAACCAAGTAAAACTAGTCGTTGGAATTTCTATAAAATAGAAACTCCTTAAGTTTGCCAAATTCCATTGACCAACTTGGTTCAAGGATTTTCATGAAGGCAAAAACTTGAGTTTTCAAGAAAATTTCCAAATTTGGCATATTTCTCGAAATAGGACATTTGGTCTAATAAAATTCAAGGTTATTGACTCGAAGTGGACCTAGTAACGAAGGTTAATGCTAGAAAACATTTTCGGGACAATTTAGTCCACATTTAACCAAAACGAAATCCAAACGTCAAAATCATTTCTAATTTCAAACAAAATTTCTGTTTTGGGCAGCGTCGTGAAGAATAAAATTTTGGTCCACTTTTTGGACGTAAACTTTACTAGATTTTTGTCCCAAATTGAGCTATACACACCCCTTAACTAAACACAAGTCAAATTGGGTTCATGTTAACGTGAAAATCATTTAACATGTCTCATGCAAAGCTGGAAAAATTTCCAAGTGCATTTGGTACAAGAAGTCCATTTTCTCTTCAATTTGTCCAAAACTTTTCAACTACCCAAAAGCTACATTTTCCCCCAAACAATACTACACATATTGGTAAAAATGTATACAGCCCAAATAGTTCACAAATTTGTCGAAATCAACCCCCAAAAATTCGACCAAAATCTGGAAAATTTCCAGAATTTTCGGGTAGCTCAAAGGGTATTTTTCAATGAAATTTCCCATTGTACCAAAGCTGCATTTTCACCAAAACTACTCTACACATATAGGTGAACATATACATGATTTAAATAGCTCAATAACTTCACAAAATCCAGTTCTAGAATCTGGGCAAAGTTGGAAGAAAAACAGGCCTGCTGGTTCTGTTGCAGAGCAGAATTTTTCTCTTCTTTTTGATCAACCATTTCCAACTTATAATTCATACTTTAAGTCCCTAAAAATCACCACTAACTAGTCTAGCCCCCAAACAAACAATCCAGTTCATTACCTAAGCGAAATTTGCAAAACATCAACAGGTACAAATCTGGAAAATTTTCCCTTCTCTCGGCAGCACCCCAGGTTCATTCTAAAAAACTTTTTCCAACATTTAACCACCTCAAAACATACATATAGCACATAAAACACCTCTAGCTTCATCAATCATTAGCTTAGAGGATCAGCAACCCAACATGTTTCACCAAGACAAGCTAAAACTTCAAGAACCAAAAGCTGCAACAAATCTGAAATTTTGGCTAAGGGGGTGAAGCGGAAGTTTTTGGGTTACCTTTGGTGGTTGTTTACTAGCTAAATGAAGTTCCTAGTTCCCCAAGTTCGCTCCTAGAATCACTGAGGTCAGTCGGCACCCCTTGCACTCTGTTTCCCTCTCGGTTTGACCACCCACAGCAGCAACCCAGCAGCAAACGTTAAGGTGAAGAGAAGCTTGGGTCTGGGGTTTTTGAGTCAGCTTGGAAGGTTCTGTGGTTGGAGGAAAGAAAAATGGCAGTTGGTTTCTCCTTCTCCCCTGGTCCGACGCAACGCCGGCAGCAGCAGCAGCGATCTTCCTCCTCCTTGCTTGGTCGAGACAGCAGCCAAGAATGGAGGTGGAAGCTGGAAATGGAAGCTTGAAGATTGGGGTGTGAATGGCTGAGGATGGAAGGCTGTTAGAAGCTTGGAATGGCAGCGGTCTCTGCTTCTTCTTGCACCAGAGGAACGAGCTTGAAGAGAAGAGAAACGGATGGTAGTTGGTGATAAGATGGGTTGAAAATGAAGGTAAGCTAGAGGTATAGGTTTGAAGACTTTTTTGGGCATGCCATTAATGGTGACAATTTTGAATTTGAATCGCGTTTAAGCGCGAAATTCTTATCTACTAGTAGAAATTCCTCATCTAACATTTTCTCAACTGAATTATACATTTTTATAACCTCTACATATCATACAGTTCAACTTAGAGCTATATTGCGTATGCGAGTGCGAAAATCCAACTTAATGTTTAGTCGAACGCGAACCGTCAAATAAATTTTGAAAATTCATGTAAATTAAAATATAACATTTATATAAGTGACAACATCATTAATAATATAAATACACATTTTTAAATATAAATTCATATTATTTAATAATTTTTGAAGTTTAAATAATATTTATTTTAATTTTCAGAAATTAATGAAATTTTGAGACCCTCACAAAACATATCATATAAAAAATGACTGTGGTATGCAATCACAAATTAAACAAGCCGAGACTAAAAACTTCAAAAAGTAATGGTTTCAAAAACCTTCAAAACAAACAATAGCAGGTTACTTGATGATTTCACTAATCAAATTAAATACCTTGTAAGCATATCAAATTAGAGCTCAAATAAAATTTACAATATAAGTATAAGAGGACCGAGTTGCTGGTCAATTGAACTAAAATTAGAACTCATATAAAGTCTATAAAAATTAAAACTCAACAAAACCTATACTTTATATACTAAATTGAGTAGTATATTTATCCAAAGGCAAAAAATGGAAATGTAAATTAGAAGAATAGGAGCATACACATTGGACCTCCTGAGGTTCCCTAAT